AGTCATAGTGGCGTAAGTCAAATTTTTTTTGAATTTTTTCTTGCGTGCGTAGATGCAATTTATGCAATATATAAATTGCATTTATGCACACAAAAAAATAATAAAAATTTGACTTACACGACTGTGGTTTTTACCCCTCCATATATTCTAATAATTATACCGTCGCCTCTCGTGGGAAGCGGATTAAACTCAATAGAAAAGTTCTTTACTGTTTTGTAAGTTTCTCAATAATTACACTGATTCGAGGATCTTTATTAATTAATTTCTCATTAATTAATAAGTGTGCGTCCGTGCAATTCAACAAGAAAAAGCAGCCTAGAATTTATGGTTGCTATAAATTTTATTACTATTGATTATATCTTTTTACTATAATTAATATAAATGAGCTACTAATTTTTGCACCCGTAGTAGTAACACTGAAAAATGAACTTATTGATATTTACTGGCTTCTAATCTCCGCCCGCAAAGTACGAATTAATCGATAGCGTTCATTTCGTTCGGCAGCTTTAAGTCGGTGACGTCACGTTTACTCTCACTACGTGTAGAAGGTGGAGAAAGGAAAGATTCGGCGATGCCAGCATCTTTCACTTCTGATGACGATGTAGGTTCGCGGTGGTTGATGACGCGGCACGTAGGTCATATAAAGACATGCAACATATAGATATGCGCGCGCGCGCACATACACACACACACACACACACACACACTTATGTAATCAGATATGTACATACGAACATATCTATATGTTCGCCGATAAATCTTGACATTCGTCAAATGAACGAATAAATGAAATCTATAGGGACTTAAGGAAGAAAGGGGATTATGAGAAGATAGCCACCTTGACCTAGTTTTGCTTGAATTCGTCGAGAAATGGTGGCTTTTTCCAAGTAAGAGTAATTTTCTTTAAGCATTAATTTTAATCATTATTTCTGTCAATGTAATGTCAATGTAAATAAATTTATAATTTAACAATCTGTTTAAAATAGCGAAGAGATACATATTAAATCATCAGATATTTATAAAAAAAGATTTAAAAAATTCTTATTACATAGTATTTATGCATAATATTAGAATAAACAATTTTCAAAATAAAATACATGTATTAATTATTTTTTAGTATTGTATCTACATCTCTAACAACTATTTAATTATAAGACTAATCGTAAGATTTTAAGAAAGTTTTTTAATTTATAAGTGTTATGTAAAAAATCAATGGAAATCTACAATTTAAAAACTGACAAATAACGTGTGCTATCCGTGGAAGAAGTGATACAATTATAATTTCTGGTGTAATGACTCAAAAGAAAGCCACCTTGACCTAGTCGGATAATCGGCTCATCAAAGACGATCGATACTCGCTAATCAGATCAAACTACCCTACTTCCTTTCACTGCATGTACATTTTCACGATCGACAAATTCAACGCAAATTGATTCTCAAACTCTCAACGGACTGACTATCAAAAGTCGTGCAAGTTGTAATTATAAATATACTTAAATATGCGTAAACTTATTGTTAAATCTTTGAAGCGCAGATTTCTTTTTTTTTATAAAAAAGATTTTGATAACTATTTTAGATAATTATTAAATAATACATAATAATATTACATTTGATATATTAATAATATATTAATAATGTATTAATAATAACTTTTATAATACCGGCTTTAAAGAATTATATAAAATAGAAATAGAGAAGACTGAAGAATATAACAAAATTAAAAATAGACCAATATCTTAAAATTTATAGAAGTTAAAGCTATTACAGACATTTTTCTAAAAATTAGGGACCTTTGATCGCGTATAAAGCTGAGTCTAATCAACCAAATCTTAAAGAATTATATATGAAATAGGGGTAGAAAAGACTGAAAAATATAATAAAATTAGAAATAGATCGATATCTCTAAATTTGCGGAAATTAAAGCATAAACAAAAATTTCTAAAAAAATTCAAAATTTTATTAAAAAAGAACCCCTTGATTATTAGCAATTTTTATTAATTCTATTATATTCTTCAGTTTTTTCTATCCCTATTTCATATATAAGTCGTTAAGATTTGGTTGATTAGTTCTGGACTTATAGAAATTTTGATAAATTTGACACATACACACACACACACACACACACACACACACACACACACACACACACA